TAAAAAACTCAAACTCAATGCTATTGAGTTGGTTCTGACTTAGGGTCTGTCCATTGGGTTTCTGAGTCTGTAAATCTTAAAATCCCATCTTTCCCACATAGAAAGCCCCAGTAGATTTGAACAACCGGAGATGTGTGACCTTTTAGATATCAGTGCAACATACTATGGACCATGTCACCAGAGTTTCTTTGGAATGACCATAAGAACTTTAAGAAATGGCTTGGAGTTCACCTCTAGAAGTGTTTAATTGGACTCAAGTGTAGCTGTACTTCAAGCCACTGTAACACTGCCTCAAGTGATAACACTGTGAAGACAGGGTTAAGCACCACTGCTGTGGGGTAGCTTTGCCCAGATGCCTAGATTGGTAAGACCATTGAAGGATTTCACTAGGGCTCTCCAGGTACTGCTTAAGTGGTCTATATTAGTTAATGTGTATCAGTTTTAAATATAAAAATAATTTGAATAAAAATCCAACCAGCTTATATAAATTACATAGTTATATTACTGTTTTTCTTACATTTATGGGTCATGACAGATGATTTGAGTGTGGAATGTAGTTATTCTATTAATAGTAACAGACAGTAATTTACTTAAATGAACACTACCCCAGATTTAACAGAATTTAGTTCAGACTAATTCTGAAACTAAACTTGCTCTTTTTATGTTCTTCTAATTTTATAAATACAAATAATGGTTTTCCTTTTCCCCAGGATCATCTACCTCATTTAGGTCTGCAATTAAATTGTACCTTTATTAGAGAAAAAACACACATTTCCTTTTCTTCAATGTAACGCCTTTCAACAGACATTTCAGTCTCAAATTGTGCTCTATTACAGATTTCTAAAGTAAACCAAGTTTCCTTGAGTAGAAAAATGAGATTTAGTAAAATATCCCTTATAAAGTTGAGTGCTACATGAGACAGTATTATTCCTCAAAAAGTTACAAAAATAGATTTACATTTAAAAAATCTTATCTGAATGAATATGTACTTAATAATACAATAATGTAGGGCTCTGATTTGGCAGGTTTTACAGCTCCCAGGCAAAGAAACAAAGACAGGTTATCATGTTCTCATAAAAAATTTTGTTTATCCAAATGAAAAAAATGTAAAGTAGATACTAGGGACAATTCCAGCACAACCACTTGAGAACAAACATCCTATTCACTGGGGGATGAGATTAGTATTTAGAACTATTCCTTAGAAGTACATTGTGTCCCAAGGCTTTATTATGGCTCACATTTGAGTATTTGTTACTTCTAGAATAAATTTCTGATAACAAAGCATTTATTACTTTCAGAACAAATTGCTGGCTTGAGAATGGCTTTTAGCTGGCCATAGTCTTGCAGCATCTTATAAAAGCAAATTTTTTCCATCTGTTACATCTGGGAGCTTCTAGCACAGCGTTTCTTTTACTCTGATGTAGGGACATGCTTGAGATTCATAAGCTTGTATAAATGAAGGAGACTATAGCATTCAGTTCTTCAACTCTAGCTGCTCACTACATCACTTGAGGGTGCCCCTGCATTTTAGACATGATTGTCTGAAGAGAACCTATACATCATTTATTTTAAAGTCACCAGGTCATTTCTGGGTGCACCAATATCAGGAGCGGTGAGGTACCATCTTCAGCAGGCTCTTCTGTACCTTTGCAACCTGAAGCATGGGATGATAGTCAATCTGCCCAGTATGGAGGTCTCCTTCTCTTTTACTTTCAGCTTCTCAAACTTTGATGCTCATCAGATTAACCTTTACAGCTTTGAGGATGCTCAGATCCAACTGAGAGGGGTTGCATTTCAGACAAACTCGAATGTTTAGGAGATTCTGAAGAGATCAAGGTTGAGGACAAATATTTGCTGTGCTTTTACAGCAGTTTATTAGTCTGTGATTCAGTGGCAGGAAAACTCAACATTAGGAACTTAAAACATATTCTCTAAGACTTGTTGCCATCATCTGGAATGTAATGGGATGTTCCACTTGGTCTTAGGATAAAGTCAGTGACAATGTGGATGTAAATATAAAGTTTACAAGATTTATCTTTTAAAAACTTTTTAGCTTTTGGAAGAAGTATTTTCATAGGATAAAATCAGAGAAACCTTTTAGAGATTGTATGAGCAAATGTAAGAACAGCAGTCTGTGGTGAATGTTATCCTCAACACTTAAGTTCTGTTTATTGAACCCTGTTTCTGGTTAACAATGTAGCACTCTGTAGATGATGCAATCAGATCTGTTTCTAAAGGCCAGATCTGATGCTGGGCCATGGAAGACAGCACCTAAGGTACAGCATGGACTTGGCATCAACAAAGATGGACAGGCCCTAAATGCTGAGCTCTGGCTGAGTAGTGCTATGATGCTGTTCCTCTGGATTCTGTGGTCCCTTAATCACCGCTATGACCTGCGGTGGTCTTTGGAAAAGGGTGAACTCTGTGGGTTCTATAAGTCCTCCTTTTCTTTCAGATAGAGGCAGTAAGAAAATTTGGACAAGCACAAGCTTAAATTTAATAAAATTTCACACTTTTTTTTGCAATAAGGTTGAAATACAAAAAAGAAATCTGAAAATGTTTTGCTGTTTATTGTGTTATATAGTAAAATATTTCAAATTACAAAAATACTAGGCTTTAAATTGCTATAATTTGAGTAGCTTACCAATGCCCACCCCTCAATAACCACTAGTTCCTTGACCAGGAAGTGGTAACAGAATGTTACATTTTCTGAATAAACTTATACCTAAAAATTTTTTAAAATATATTTTGAGGTGAATGGAAAGTGAAAATGGCTTACTACCTATGCCAGAAATTGTCAACATTCTTAGAACTGTTGCTTAATAAAATTAAGCACAGATTGTTTTCAATGGAGATAGCTTAAAATTCCCAGTGAATGGCAATCTAGGAAACTGAAGAGTGCTACAAGCCTAATTCCCAGGCTTAAAGGAGACAGTTCATCAGGGTCTTCTGCCTTTAAACCTACTTTGTGTTCCTTTGTCAGGGGCTTCTTGTTAGGTTCTGTCTACAGAAAATGCACTTTCTGTTTTCTGTGGTAACAACCCTGGTCATCGCTAGGTCTGCTCCAATATTGCCTCCTTGATGTATCCTCCCAGGTAAATTTAATTAATCTATCCTATGCAATGCTTTCACAGTGGTGGCGAACTGTTGTGTCTAGCATTTGCCATACTATGTATAGCTTAGTATTCAGTTCATTTTCTCTTTAATCTGTGAGTTCTGTGGTATCAGAGATGATGTCTTGTTTATTTTTGTGTTTTTGTACCTGTGCCAGGCTTCAATACATGCTTAGAAGTATTTGCAGAGAAATGAGGTTGAATTCCATTTTACTTTTGTTAAGACAAAGCAAATGTTTTTGTAACTGTGGGCCCTGATCCATCTGATTCAGTAGGCTGTTTAAAACCACAAAGACAGTGCTGCATGTGGGGCATCATCAGAACATCATCAGAGATGTTCTTCCTCAAGAATCTGGAGGGGAAGGGTACTGAGTGAGCATGCAAAACACCTCTTATCAGGGACTCATGGGTTAGAAAAAGCCTTGATCTGAACTACTGAGATCACTCAGTTTACCCTAGAAATATTCTAAGCAGGAAAAATACCTTTTCCTCCATCTAGATCATCTGTCAGTGTTATTGTGACTGCATTACCATAGATGTGAAACTCTAATTTTGACTTAAATCTTATTTTAAACGTGAAGACCTACAATGGCAGAGACTGTAAATTCTTCCATAGGTGCCACAGGGCCTAGAATCTTTTTTACAAAGGGGAGGTGGAGTTGTTGGAAAGCTTATCTGGGAGGAGTAAAGTACTCTTCAAGTTTAAAAAAAAAAGTGAAAAAGAAAATTCTTTCTCATGAGTAACCTAAACTCTTTCATTTTGAAGGGAGAGGCGTGGTAGGGGTTGGCTAAGTCAGTTTCGTGAACAGCTTCATATTTGTAGTCTCCTTATACCCCACCTGAGACTCAAATTTGGCAGGTAAAAAGTTCTTGTGAGAACTTTTCCATTTTCATCTTGTCTTAATTAAAGCATGTTGCTTTGAGTGCTGAAGAATTCAAAGTGAACTGGAATCTCAGCTATTTTCTGCAGTACCATATTCTCTTGCTGACTTTATGACAGCAAGATGGGAAAACACATCAAGTTTCAAAATAACAGAATAGAAAATAAACAAGTAGGTCAAATAACTGAGCGATTAGAAAGCAGTGGACAGACAGAGTGCATATCAGGGGACATTTACACAGAATGAAGTCTGAGCATTAGCTCCACCACTGACTTTCCTCTATGCCTAGGTGGAGACAAAGTGGCTTATCCTTTTGTACCGGGTCATAATTTGTGCAGAGGCAGCCAGGCCCTCTCAGGACACAGAGGACTTTGTTGTAAAATTGTCTTGAGATGGAAGAGTCTTGAGGAAGAGCCGAGGGCATTAAGTGTAAGCTGGAAGACTTGTGGCACTTGTCCTTGGTCCTTGGTCCCAAGACCCTGGATCAGCTCAATGCAGCTGGAGCTACAAGCAACCTTCTTCCCCACTGGAAGTGCTCATTGACAGTAAAATCAACAATAATGGTAAAAATCTCTAATTATTTTCAAACAATTTAACGTGTGTGTGTGTGTGTGTGTGTGTGTGTGTATTCATATACACAAGTATACACACACGCATTCACACACACACACACACACACGTCTGTCTGTGTATTCTACCCCCAACTATATCTTTTTTGACTCTCTGAAAGATAAACTTATGCCCAAATTTACTTCTTGTTTGGTACTGTCTTCAGAAGCCTTAGGGTCTGAACACAAAGAAATATAGCTGTAACTTCTGAAACAGCTTCTGAGTAAAAGGGTACTCCCTGGTTGCAAGATGGGCTGCTCAGAGCAAAAGTGGCAAAATCAGTCCACAGGCCTGAGAACAGATACGGCATGGCTATCGGTACCTTTGTAGCTGCCAAGGCTTGGTCCTGGGTGGCTTAAGAGTCTGGAATTTTTATAGCTGATTCTTCCCTTCATGGTCATGCTCCAATGGACTCACTACTTGGGGGCGTGACCCTCAGGTATTCTGCATTTTCAGCTGCAGGAACCTTAAAGACACCATTGGGCTTGGCTTCCTTGGGAAAGAAGTCTTGTTGGTAGTCTGGGTTGTCCAGACTGATTTGGTGATTGCCCTTTGAGGCCCAGAAGGCAGGGCTGTTGAAGACACTGTTGCCACAGGCAGGCTGAGTGGTATTGAGATACTCTGGGTTGTCCACTGCATTGCTGTGGGGGTTCTGATAGTGAGGTTCTCTGCCAGGGGCTGAATTCAGAGGCTGATTGTGGTAGACAGGGTTCTGGACTGAGCCTGCAGGCCTTTTGGGAATGGATTCATTTATATATTCTGAAATGGAAAAGAAACCAGAGGTGACATCATTAACAAAGCATCACCCTAAGCAACAATTCCACAATGCACATGGAACTCTATCTTCAATAAGGATACTGATGTTGGAGGGGAGAAGAAACTCAGATTACTAAATCGCTTATTTTGCTAAAGAAACTGTTCTTTCATGTACTCCTGAAAGCAATGATGACAGTTATTTTTTGTAAATGCAAAGTTTTCTACCTTGAGAGGGATGAGTAAGTGTGTACAGATGAGTGCTCTGTATGTACATGTGTGTGTGTGTGGTTTGTGTATGGGAGAGAGGTATAGTTTGGAAGCATATGGAGATAAAGCTTAGATTAGGAAAACAGGCTTCACAGGCCAAGAATTGAACCAGGAAAGAGAAGAAGACTTTGTTTCCTCTTGTGTGATTAACTGCCTCTCAAAACCCATTTCAGGGTGAGCTACGGGTGGGTTCCGTCTGTACAGTACACAACAACAATATATGGTGCTCTAGTCTCAGGGAGTTACACTACCAACTCAAAGGTGAGCAGTTTAAATCTACCAGCTTCTCCTTAGGAGAAAGATGGGCAGTCTCCTCCCATGCAATTTACAGTCTTGGAAACCCCCTGGATGCTCAGTTATGCGTTGCCTCTGACTTGCTGGCAATGAGTTGTTTTTTTGTTTTACTTGGTTAAAATTTTTAAAAATTTGCAGATTCATTTTTTTAAATGATCATTTTTATTGTTCATTAAAAAATAAATATTATGTAACAAATTGTTGGCCTTTAAATACTTTCCGCATATATAGTTCAATGACATTAATTATGACTGTCATGTTGTTCAACCATTGCTATTATCTACTTCCACATTTTCCCATCACCCCTAACAGACACTCAGCACCTCTTATGTGATGAGCTCTCCTTTTCCCCTTACCTACCCTTGGTAATTACTGATAAATTTTGGTCTTCCTCTATATTTGCTCATAGTAAATAGTTCATAGAAATAGAATCAGATGCACTGTCCTTTTCAACTAACATACTTCATCCAAAATGTTTTCCAATTTTAACCATTTTGCAACCCTGATCAAGCTGTCATTGCAGACCCATTGGAATTGACCTACAGGTTATTTAGTTTGAATCTGGTTTGATCTCACTTAGACCTTGGGTTCCATCCTTTTGTACTTATTTGCCTCTTGCTCTCTGAAAGTGTTCCAAAACGTCTAGAATCATTATCTCTCAATCACCCTTAGACATCTCAGGTGGAAGGGAACACCCAGTGGGCTCCCAAGGGATGAAGGCCAGCTGCCATGAGAAGGAGGAAGTGGAGGAGTCAATTCTAAGCAGGTGACTCACCTGGCACAGGAAGGAAGGTGTCATCAACGCTTTCCTCAGTCAGGGCTCCCGTGGGGTCGGAACTGTACCGCTGTAGGAAACTGTCCTCCTTGGTGGGGCAAATCTGCTGGGGAGGACATATGGCAGGTGAGGAAAACCCCAAGTGCTTCTCAAATTTCTGTGTACATCAAAATCACCTGAAGTTATATCACAATGTAGAATTCTGATGAGGGGAATCTGGAGCATAAGATCCATGAAATACAGGGAACATAGCAAGATATGGCCACTGCGGTCCCACAGAACTCTCTGTAATGATGTCATTAGTGAACAATTGAGCTATGAGATGAACTCAATTTAAACATCACTTAACTAAAATTTAAATTAATTACAATTTAAATAGTAAAATTTTCTGGTGGCTATTGTACTGAAAGATGCGAATCTAGATCATGATTTTGTCTTGCGTATCAGCATCACCTGGGTGGTTAGCTCACAGACAAGGTGCAGGGCCCCAGAGACCCAAACTCAGTGTGGTGGGGTTGTGACCCAGAAATCTGCGTATCTGACAGATATGAGGTGATGTTGCTGATAGCTATGGACCTCTATGTTTCATGATTCCTAACAGCCTGCTGGAAGTAGTGCTCAAGGAGACCACCAAAAAAAGAAGAAGGAAAAATCAAGATGGCTTTAGTTAAGATGGCCATTTTCTACAGATAGTAGAACCATAATTTAGGACAACTGCTTAAAGTTCACATGATGCTCATACATACCCCATTTCTATCAATGCAAGCTACAGTGGAATTGTTGCTGTTTGTGCTCTGAAAAAGAAACAGAATAGTTCATGGCATAACTGCCTAATCGCACCCATCTCCCTCATCTCCAGTGAATGCAGATAAAGATGCTCCACTTTGCCTCTACAAATAGCTTTACAAAAAGTAGGCTTAGTTCTGATTTAATTCTGCTCTTTGGATGACCTAAAATGATTACCAGCATGTTGTAATTAACAGCACAGCAAAATATTTAGCACACTGAAAAACCTACTGTGCTTTTGGCTTTGTTGTTTGGTTAAAATTTACCTCTTCATTTCCGTGTGAGTTCTAATAGATGAATGTGGTTTTCTTGAAAACCCAATTGATTCCAACTAGTGGAGCCAGCCTGAAGGATAGTGAGGAGTTTGTACCAGAGAATTGAGGAGGGGGGTCCGAGATGTAGATGGGCTGTTGAAAAATCCCTGCTGTGGTATGAGGTATTCATCTGCGTCCACAACATCTTCCATATCTTCTTCATCCATCAGGGCACGATAGAAATTGGAGTCTGTAGGACTCGGCAGGTGCATTCGTTCATCTCCCTGGGGCAGAGATTTTGAGACCATTAGAAAGGTGGACAGAGACTGCTATTCCACCTTTTAGCAATAGGGATCTACTATCAGTACATTCCAGTATGCCAACTTAGTTATGCGTAGACCTCTGTGCTTCTCTGAAACACAGAATTTTCCCTCATTGCCTGGAATGAAAACTTCAAAACATTTCTTAGTGTCTACAAGAAGGAAAAGAAAAGCAGCATATTTCATTGAATGTGTTACTATCAGCATATTGCATGTATTATTTCAGTGAGCCTTTGAAAACACCTCTGTGAGATGGGTTTTATTTATCACATAAGGATATGAGTTAACAGGTTACCTGAGGTAACACAGTAAGGCAATGAAGCCAGGTTTGCTTGACTAAAGTCTGGCTTCATTGTACAATGCTAAGCCTTTGGTTTAATGAAGCAGGAAGATGACACATCTGGGTATGCCAAGCTCACAAGGAAATAGCGAATGTAGAGTTGGGATAACACTAAATGAACTTTTCGTTCATAACCTGTGGCTTAACCAAGGCTTGTAAAGCTCTGTGATTAATTATGTGATTTAAGAAACAGTGAGGGTGCATGCTCTCTGGTGGGACACATGTATACTGGGTGCTCATTCTAGGATTTTTCCTTAGCTCTGATACCTGAATGACAAGGTAACGCTGAGGGTCACGGGCCATTTTTGAGAATTCAATGATCAACTCACGGAACTTTGGACGACTATCAGCATCAATCATCCAGCCTGCAGAATTAATAAAAAAAAATATGTGTATATATATGTAATCAGAAATTTGAGATAAACAATATTGATACTGCTACTGAGGCATTTAAAATGAGCCCTTCTCAAACAAATGATAAAGAAACCTAATCTTGGTGATTAAGAAACTAGCAGTGATGAATATTTAAAGATCATAATGGGTTTGAATCAGAGTGACATTAATTTCCTGGGATTCACTTTCTGTTGATTTATATATCTGCATTACTCCCTTAGGTGAGGAAGGACTATTACTATCCATGTCCTCTTGTAGCTATTTTGCTGCAGGAGACTTCATATCTAGAGCGCTGGCCAAAGTCTTCACCCACATTTGCCCTCATTTATATTCAATAGTCTGTTTTTCACCTGGAAAGCAGATCCAATACACATTTACCTTTAAAGAGCGTGGGGTTTAGGAACCCTACAAGACCAGTTCTTTCATTGTCTTGCTGTAGTTGTTGATGGTGCCTTCATGTCCATTACGATTCATAGTAAACCCATGAACAACATATTAGAACCCTGCTCTGTCCTGCATCATCCTTATAATCTCTGCCTACTCAAGCCCACTGTTGCAGTCACTATGTCAATCCATCTCCTTGTGGTTCTTGCTCTTTCACTGACTTCTAACTTTCCCAGCATAGTGTCTTTTTCAAAAGACTAGCTCCTCCTGACAACATGTCCAAAGTATGAGAGATGAAGCTTCAACATTCTTGCCTCTTAGGAGCATTCTGGCTACCCTTATTCCAAGACAGATTTGTTTGTTCTTTTAGTAGTCCACAGTATATTCAATACATTTGGTCAAAAGCACAATACAAAGGAATCCATTCTTCATTTGTCATCCTTATTCACTATGCAACTCTCAGATCTTTACAAAGCAGTTAAAAACACCATGGATTGGATTAGATGCACCTTAGTCTTTAAACTGACATCCTTTCTCTTTTTAAAAGAAGTCTTTGTGTGACATTGGGTGTTTTACGTACTCACTCAGTAATTAAATGGTTAATGTGTTGAGTCCATTCAAAGGTGCCTCTGAAGAAAGATATTAGCTTCTGAAAGATCCATCAATGAAACCCTTGTGGATCACACAGTTCTACTTTGACACACATGAGTCACCATGAGCAAGGAATCCACTTGATAAGGAAATAATTATGCATGCAGATCAGAAGGTGATTATTTTGGAGCCTACCTGAGAAGACCTTGACCTGGTCATGTGAGTGTATTTGATTACATAATGATTTAAGTCTAGATGAAACAAGCCAGAGAAACAGTTTAGATGAAATCCTTGAGCTTCCTGTAGGATCAAATTTGTTTTTCATCATTGTGATGTCAAGCTATTTCAGGCTAGACTGCTCTGTGACCTTGGACAGAACAGGCAATCTTTTTGGATCCTAGCTTCTTTAGCTCCAAGACAAGAAGCTAAAACAGATTAACTTTGTGTTTTAAAATTTAGAAGGCATGAATATTTATACTGATTTGACCCTATCTTATTTCCAATGCTACCTTCTTATGTAAACACATACCCCACATATAATTTTATTTCCAGAGTTAATAAAATTGTGATTCTAGTGGCATAAAGGTGCCAAACAAATCGCACACTCTTATTTGAATTCAAATGTTTAAATGCCACACTGCAGAATACTTCATGTAAATCCACTGGCTGAAAGATTAAGTGGGGCAGCAGTACTGATTCCATCAACCTCATGGGGTTTACTCATTGTTAGATATTTTAGAAACAGTCTCTGTGGTAATAGGCTATAAAATGTGGGGTGCTCAGCATTTTACTAATCACCCTAGAGAAGAGAATATTTTAAAGTAGCAGTTTGGTTTTACTTACTGGCAAACATGGGGCCAATGTCAAGTCAGAGTATGGAATGAGTTAGCAAGTGCTTTCTGGAAAATGCTTGGAGGAGGTGTTTATAAACGTTTTTGGGCTGTGTGCCTGCCCTTAAAAATGTGTTTCTACAGGGACCTGGGGACTACAGATGTTTAGCTAAAAACAGCAATGTATTAGCAGGCATTAAAAACATATGGAGTGTCCCTGACCAGGTCAGCAACGGACGCTGACTGTGTCCATGCACTCACATTTGACCATGATCATGTAGACATCAATGGTGCAGATAGGTGGCTGTGGAAGGCGCTCTCCTTTCTCCAGGATGGAGGAGATCTCGCTGGCAGGGATTCCATCATAGGGCTTGGATCCAAAGGTCATCAACTCCCAAACTGTGACACCTGAGGAGAAAATAAAATCAAATCTTATCAAAGAAAGTAGTTTCTTTATGAATTCATGATAGTAACAATGCATCATCTTTAATGCCTTAGCTTTTTATTACTATTTTTCAAAACTAGAAAACTACATCTCTCTGTCATGATGTGACTTGTTTGATGGTTTGAAACCTCAGTTTACTTCTATATAAAGTGGGACAATATCGGTACCTTTCTCATACAATGATGTAAGGATCAAATATAATAACAGTTGAAATGTTTTGCATAAATCCTGACAAATAACAACCAACAAAACAATAACAACTCAATGCTGTCAGGTTGGAACCAATTCATAGCTGATCTTCCAGTGGGTTTGTAGAGGATGTGAATCACATGGAGGAGAGTGCCTACCTTTTTCCCATGCAGCTGGTGGATTCAATTTGCCTGCCTTTGGGGTGGAAGTGCAACTCCTTACCTACTAGGCCACCAGAGCTCAAGCTGCTGACCCAGAGGCAGGTGGTTCAAATTCATCAGCTGCTCTGTGGGAGAAAGATGGGCAATCTCCTTCCATGTGATCTACAATCTCTGAAAACACACTGATGGGTCAGTTAGGAGTCAGTCCTGACTTGATAGAGGCACTAAACCACTGAACAAAAGTGTGTTCATTCCTTCAACAGATACACAGCAGGGTGGTGGGTACACTGAACACAGGCAAACTGGAGTACTGGGGGTGAAAAGAGAATGGAGCCCCAGGAAAGAGGCAAGATGGGAGGAGCCAGGTCATTCATGTGCTTATTCATGTTAGGGTTACTGATTTTACTTAGAACACAGTAGAAAGAGAGAAAAGGAAATGAAGCATAAAAGTGAAAATCTAGTATAGTTAAACAAAGTGTTTGGACTGCTGTCTGTAGAGAAAAGAGGAGAGGGGTGAAGCCAGGAAGAAAAAGGACCACTGAAAAGGCTACTGCTGTGGTGTCTCTGAGGAGATGGTGGTTGGGACTGATCAGTGGTGATGGAGACCAGATGCAGGAGTGGCAAAAAGCAAGATTTTCCTCTAACAAGGCACTAGCATAGCTTGATTTCCTCATTTGGTTATTAACTGCAGGCAGCTGCCATGGATAAAAATATTGAAAAAGATAACTTTTCCACTTATCACAATAAACTGCAAAATTAGAGTTTGATATTTGAACAAAAGAAAGATGTAAAAGTCATTGAAATAAGAACAGTAATTTGGAATACCAGACAAATAGTAAAAAAAAAACCAACCCAAAACCCACCACGTAAATAACTGGCTCCCAAATGAGTGTGGTTTTGTGATGATGATGAAATTGCTTTCTGAAACCAAAGAGCATACCCTAGGGGTGCACATGTTGGACAGGCTGGCTGTTCCCTGGAAGGCGGAAGACCTGCCTCTGCCCAGAGGCAGCTCAGAAGGAAGGCCTGTGCATCCACATCTGAAAGATCAGCCACTGGAAATCCTATGAACACAGCTCTACTCTGCATGCAAGGGCTTCCTGCCAGTCAGGTTGTCTCTATGGGAATTTTCTTTTCTTTTTCATACACATTTACATAAGGTGGGGTAACTCGCTGCTTAGCTACCATTCCCTGAGATGACTGAGGTAAAGTCAGCTGACTATCCATAAACTGCAACAGATGAGTTATGTTCCAGGCTTACAACTGATTGTTGGGTGAAATTTGAGAACCAAGCATGGTAATATCATAGTAATGGAAATTTACTGATGATTTTTTTTTTTAAAGGTGAGAATCTTGTAGGCATTAGAACTCATCTGCCCAAAGACAAAAGTGAGGTATGAACAAAAGCTCAAGACAGGCTTGAAGAAGAGTGAGTTCTATTAGCAGAACTGGTTTACTGATAATAGAATAAAAGACGTAAAACTGATTTACTGCTAATCTTAGTAATTGCTCTCCTTTTTATAGACACCACCAAGAAATTTAATTACTGGAAGCTGATATGGTGGACTTAAAATTATTTACTTACCAGGACAGGCTTTATGTTTTGATCATGGAAAACTATTAAAGATATGAAAAATATGGGTTTTGATGCTTCTGATGGAACAAGTTTTAAGCAAAGGAACGAGAAATTCATATTTAGAGATGTGCAGGTTTTGTGACAATGTCTATTGTACAGCTTCCACCAAAAAGAGTTTCAGGAATGTCTATGGAATGGAAAAAGTAATCTTAAGGATCCCTGACACCCTGACAGCACTGTGGCATCAGGCTAGTGACCTACTAGTTGCTCCTAAGCAGTGAGAAAATTAGTTCCTTAAAAGTTTACATACTTTTTGCTCTTTATGAGTCATAATGAGTCAGGATCAGTGATTTTCAATAAACACACTGATAAAAAAATAGAATTTCAATCAAAAGAAGAGTTCCTGGTAAGCCAGAGCACAGGCTGCCACTGTGAGCATTATGCAGCAGAAAAATACATCTCCATCCAAGAGTCCTCAGTAGAAGGGAAGCAACAGCTATCTCCTTAAGCATATCCACAAAACATAATTTTTTGTCAAGCCAGTAACACTAATATACAACAGCAGTGAGTAACAAGTAATAGCCATATGCTGCATAGAACAGCAGCCTAAATAATACAATTCTAGAAACACTTCTCTATGAAACCTCATTTCTCACTTTCCTTTGATTTATTTCATTGTTATGGCAAAAGGCAAAATTTTGTTTGATTTCAAAGGTTTCTCGTTCACCTTCCCTCTCCCTTTCCTCTTTCTTTCAGACAAGCTCATCAACATCTCATTACTAGAGGGTTAGACTTAATTTTCTTTGTTATTTATTTCTTAGTGTAATAGTCAGCAATTGCATTATTACTATCAGCCATTATCTGGAGAAAAAAATTCTGGGGGTAGAGAGAATAGTGCAACAATGAATGAATGGAAACCCAAAATCTCTGTAAATGTTTATGAAAATTAATAAAATATAATTATAGAAAAAAAATTCCGGGATGACAAAGCATATAATGTAAATGAACAAATAAGAAACCCAGCTCAACCTCAGCACAAACTCAACAGCAGCAAGATCCTGACTCACCATAGCTCCAGACGTCACTTTGATGGGTATAAATTCGGTGTAAAATTGATTCCAGAGCCATCCATTTAATAGGAACCTTGTGGTAATGAGAGATAAAATGTTAAGACAACTGTTATCTGCCCTCTGTAGAAAAGAATTAAATCATACTGGTACTAATTTCCATACTTTTTTTGGTACTAATTTCAGGTGACTAATGTGGCAGAGCAGTCAGTCCTCTTCCTCTGGGCTCCCTTCCCAGCTTGAAGAACAGGTTTAAAGGGAGACAGATCTGGGCTGCTCTGTCTGCTCCCAGTGGGCTCCATGACCATGACAGTAGGGACACCTGACACTCTGGGTCATCCAGCCGAGCTGAGCACAGTTGCTGGTGACTCAGGGCCTGGTCTTTGCTGTGGTCCAATTACTTAGCACATGCATTACACTGTCTATGGCCACAGAGTGCATAGTTGCTTGGGCCACACACACAGAGCAAAGGGTGATATGAGAGAACCTCAAAAGTCTAAATGGAGACTTCATCTCTCTATCCAAAGTAGCCCTCCAGTAAGGCAGTGAGAAGGGAGCTATCACAGCAGTGCAAGTCCCCAGCATGAGTTACAAAGAACCAGGGAGCTTTTCAAAACAACACAAGGAGCGTTCCTGTTTATATTTCTTTTTAGATTGTAATTGGAGTTTATAAAGAACTTAGATTTCCATTCATACATTGTTATACATTTTCCTCCCATCTCCCCTCCCCCCTCAGTTAGTTTTTTCTTTGGGAAAAAAAAGTTCTTCCATTTTAATGAAGTACCCTCCCACCTGAACCAGACCACTTTACTACTGAACTCTTATCATGGCAATAATACCTAATCATATATTCATTTTATACTTTCTCTCCCTTGTCTGTTTCAATGCCATGTACAATATTTATCTCTTCTTAGTTTCCCCCATCCCCCATATTAGTCCTGTTCCATAACAGTGTCATTATGCAGTATTTGTCTTTTTGTGACTGAAATATTTCACTCAGCACAATGTCCTCCATCGTCATCCATTTTGTATAATATTTAATGTGTTCTTTGTCTTTTTCAGTGCTGTGAAATACTCCACTGTGTGAATATACCATGGCTTCTCTATCCATTTGTTTGTTGATGGGCACTTGGGTTGTTTCCAACTCTTTGTTATTGGGAACAAAGCCAAAATAAACATGGGTGTGTATATATCTGCTTGGGTGGCAGTTCTGGTTTCTTTATGGTATATTTCCAGTAGTGGAATTGCTGGGTCATTGGTATTTCCATTTCAAACTTTTTGAGAAAGTGCCATACTGCCTTCCATAGTGGTTGTACCATTTTACACTCCCACCAACATTGAATAGGGGTTCCAGAATTGCTGTTCTTACTGGAGTGAGAACGTATCTCATAGCTGTTTTGATTTGCATCTCTTTTAGAGCTGGGGATTTTGAGTATTTATTCATGTGTTTTTTTACCATCTGAATGTCTTCTTTGATGAAGTGTCTGTTCATATCCTGTGCCCATTTTGTAACTGGGTTGTTTATCTTGTTATGGTGTTTGAGTATTTTATAAATTCTAGCTATAAGCCCCTTATCTGACATGTCATTACCAAATATATCTTCCCAGTCTGTTGACTTCCCATTTTACCCTGTTGAAGAAGTTTTTGGATATGCATAGGGATTTTATTCTTAGAAAGTCCCATTCATCTATTTTATCCTCCCCTAGTTGTAGGTTTTTCAGGATGCTTTAAAGACTGTTCATGTTGTGGATTAGTGCTCCAGGGTTCTTTGAAGCTTTTCTTTAATGAAGTTTATAGTCCTTGGTTTTATTCCTACGGCCTTGATCCACTTTGAGTTGGTTTTTGTGTATGGTGTGAGGTGTGAGTCTTGTTTGAGTTTTCTGAAGATGGTTTTCCAATTTTGCCAAGACCATTTGTTAAAAAGGGTGTCATTTCCCCACTTAACTGATTTCATCTACTTGGCAAAAATCAGTTAACCATAGGTAGATGGTTTGCTTTCTGGGTTCTCCATTCTATTACACTGATCAATGTGTCTGTCATTTTACCAGTACCACACTGTCTTGACCACCACAACAGTGTAGTAGGATTTGAAATCAGGGAGTGAGACGCCTCCTACCTTGTTTCTGTTTTTAAGGAGAGCTTTGATTATTTGTGGTCCCCTTCCCTTCCAAATAAAATTGGAGATTGTCTTTTGCATCTCGTTGAAGAATGGAATTGGTATTTGTACTGGGATTGCATTGAATGTGTAGATTGCTTTTGGTAGGGGTTGTTTCTTAAATGGTCTCAGCAGCAGTGAGCCCCTAAATCAGGACATTTCCCAAGGGTGCTTCTGAAGAGAACTTGTTTCCTGGACTGGAGACTGAAACCTATCCATTGATAACTATCACCTGGAGACGAAGCTGGACTACTTTTGCCTCTGCACCTGGACAGAAACCTCTTTTGTCCCTCTGTAGGAGACTTTGCTCCCAAAGTATCTCCCCTTCTGTATCTGGAGACTCCAGCCCGACCAGATCGTGATGACTGCTGTGGTGGTTTCATCCAGAATGTTCTGAGAATGTGCTATGTCTGTATGGTGGACACATGGAGCCAGCCATCTCCTTACCTTGCCTCCTTCGGCATGATACTCCTTCTCCTCAGCACCGAGCAGCTTGGCCAGCCCGAAATCTGTGATCTTCACATGCTGTGGAGTCTTTACCAGAACATTCCTGGCAGCCAGGTCACGGTGCACCAGGCGGCGGTCTTCCAGGTAGTTCATGCCCTGAAACCCAAGGCAGATAGTGAGGCACAGTCAGGAGAGCAGAGCCTCGACACTCAAAAATATACCTCGTGGACAGCAGCTAGACCAGGATGTAAATCATGCTGGCTCAAGAGCACCTCAAGGACAGGACTAGGACTGAGTCCCTGCAGCCCTTCCTCTAACAAACACAGCAACTTGTGCAACAGTAAATGTTACTGATAACATTTAGCATCTGCATTCACGAATCGTTGTTGTTGTGTTATCATCAAGTCTGGACTGACCCAACGGTGACCCTACAGTGGATTTTCAGAGGCAGTAAACCATGCACGAATAAGATAAATATATGCAGGTCTATCTAGCTTGTTGTTGTTTAATGCTGTCAAGTCGTAGATGACTCATAGTGACCCTATGAACAAACAGCCTGAGCACTGTTCGTACGTAGAGTTTCTGGAGGCAAGCCATTTTGGAAGTGGATGCCGCTCCTGCTAGCTTAGGATTCATTAATTTCCTTCATATTCAAGTTAAAAGCACAACAGTACCAATTAGGAAGGACCAGCAACAAGGCAGGAGCTCTGAGTCTGAGGCTGGCCCTCAAACTGCTCCTGTGCCATGTCTGGCTATCAGACTCAAGGTTATTAAGCCATGTTCCTTTGGACTATCTTATACAATTCACAGTGAGGAAAGATTTTCATACTCAACATGGTTTCATAAGATGTATCCCCTACTTCCTCCCTGGGTGCCTTCACAATTCTCCTGTAACTTGAATCTCTAGTAGAATAACATAATGCCAGCACAGTGAAACACTGCATTTAAACCACAGCCCTTGCCCACAGTTTTTTCTAGTCACCTTGTCTTTCTCACTCTCCTCCCTCCAGGTAGACTGGCCACTTCTGGATTCATCTTCAAACCTGTCTAGCTGAGCTAAGCTCCCTTGGACTTTCCTAAGTGCCAGTCTGTTAAGATGCACTTAGCAGCCCAAGCCTTTCTGTGAGGAGACTGGCAGGCTGAAAAGAGTAGGCTGGTTGGTAAGGGCCCTAAGTATAGAAATCAGACATTATCCAACTCTCTTCTACTTGTTCATATGGCACCTTCAGGTAATTTTGTGGTGCCTCACACAATGCCTCTTCTGGTTATTTGGCTAGTACCCAAATCCCAAAATCAATATCTCCACAATCAATACTCTTGGCATCAGCAGTCAAGAAAACAAAAGACAAATTACATTGGGAAAGTCTAGTTAGGGTTCTTTCTAAAGTACTGAAAAGCAACAATGTCAGTCTGGAGACTAAAGTGTGCCTAATCCAGGCCAAGGACCTCACAATTACTTGCTATGCATCTGAGAGCTTGACAGTAACTAAGGATGATATCTTTGAGTTTTGGTGCTGAAGAGAGTGTTGAAAATATTGTGGACTGCTAGCCGAACAAACAGGTCTGTCCTAGAAAGAGTGAAACCAGGCAGCTTCCTGGAGGCAACGATTTTAAAGCTCTACCTGACATGTTTTGGGCATGTTGCCAGGAGAGACCAGTCCTTGGAGAAGGACATCATGCTTGGAAGGGTGGAGGGATTGCACAGGAGAGGAAGATTCTGGCTGAAATGAATTGACTGAGTGACTGCAGAAATGAGAGTGGGTCTAGCAGAGACAATGGGATTGGCTCAAGATAGGGCAGGGTTCAGAGCTAATGCACACAGAATTGCTATGAGTCACAGGTGACTTAATGGCACATAAGAACAACGAGGACTCCAAGGGGCCACACTGCTCCATGACTTTGTAGTCTCCACACAAAGTATGAAACAGTCAAGGGTGACTCAACATACCATATAGAAATGAATGAATATCACTAACTTAGCTTAGCAGCACTTCTGTGAAAAATCTTGGAATTTTCTAGAAGCAGCAAAGGAAAAGAAAAAGAATATACAGTCCTTGTACCAAAAAGAATTGGTCTATAAGTTGAAGATGACATTGATAAGTATGGGAGTTCCAAAGCACTCAATTGAGCTCATGTGTAACCTATACCCAGGCCAGGAGTCTGCTGTGTGAACAGCAAGGGAACACTGCATGGTTTAAGATTAAGTAGGGTGTATGTTAGGGTTGTATTTTCTCTCTATACCTATTTTATCTGTATGCTGAGCAAATTATTTAAGAAGTTGGACTCTATGAAGAGGAATGTGGCATCAAGATTGGAGGGAGACTCAGTGATAACCTGCATTATGCAGATGACTAAGCCTTGCTTGCTGAAATTGAGGAGGACTTGAAGTGTTTGTTGCAGAAGATCAAGTACTGCAGTCTTCAGTATGAACTGGATCTCAATGTAAAAAAAAAAATTCTTACCAATGGACCGATAGGCAACATCATGATAGATGGAGAAGAGATTTAAACTGTCAACAACTCCATCTTGCTTGAATCCACAATTTACACATTTTAGCAGTCAGGAAATAAGAAGATGTATTGCACTGGGAAAATCTGTAGTTAGGAACCTCTCCAAATTATTGAGGAATAATGATGTCAGTTTGAGGACTAAGGTGCATCTAATTCAGGCCACAGTCTTTCTGATCACTTGCTTTGCATCTGAAAGCTGGACAGTGAATAAGATGAAGAACTGATGCCTTTGAGCTGTGGTGTTGGAGAAGAGCACTGAACATCTCATGGATAGCTAAAAGAACCAGCACATACATCTTGGAGAAGGTGCAGCTAGAGTGCCTTTTTGGAGGCAAGAATCAAGAGGCTTCACCTCACATACTTTGGGCATGTTGCTAGGAGGGCGGCTATTCCTTGGAGAAGGGCATGATGCTAGGAATGGTGAAGGATTGGTGAAGGAGAGGAAGAACCTTGAACAAGTGGACTGATGGGTGACTACTGCAATGGGCTCTTGTGTGTCAAAAAGGGTGAGGATGGCACAGGATAGAACAGGGTTCAAATCTTTTGTTCATAGGGTCACTATGAGTCGTACTTGACTTGACAGCATTGAATAACAACAACAATGATACTGAAAAATTTCAGGAAGTATATATGATCAATACTTAATGATTATGAAGGAAGAAGTTCAAACTGCACTGAGGGTATTGGCAAAAAATAAGCCCTGAGGAATTGATGGGATACTAATTTACATGTTTCAACTAACAGATGTAGCCCTGGACATGTTTACCAGTCTATGCCTGGAGGTTTGGAGGACAGCTGTCTAAAGTTGATCTAATAGTATGTGGAAATTGTCAAATCTTTTCATTAATATCATATACAAGCAAAATTATTCCTGAAGATCATCCAAAAATGGTCAGAACAGTCAGTATATTGACAGAGAACAGCCAGAAGTTCAAGCTTCATTTAGATATTTCCAGAAGAGGCTATGGGACCAAGGAAATCACTGTTGATGTCAAATGGATCCTGGCTAAAACCGAAAGAGTGTCTAATCATGTTTTATTGATGCAAAGGCATCTGATTATGTGAATGGCAACAAATTATGACTAACATTGAGAAAGAAGGGAATCCTAGAATACTTAATTATGCTCATACTAAACCTATATCTAGACAAAGAAGCTGTTGTCTGAATGAAGCAAAGGAACACTGCATGATTTAAAATCAGGAAAGGTGTCAGCACACACCTTCTTCATACCTATTCAATTTGTATTCTGAGTAAATCATTTGAGAAGCTGGCCTCTATGAAGACAACTGTGACATCAGGATTGGAAAAAGTCTCAGTACGCAGGTGACAGGACCTTACTTGCTGAAAGTTAGGAGACCTCAGAGCACTTGCTGTAGAAGAACAAAAGCTACAACCTTCACTGTGGGTTACTATCAAGAGGATAACAATCTTCACCGCCAGACCAGGAGGCAACATCATGATAAATGGAGAAAAAACTGAAATTGTAAAAAAAAAAATTAACCTTTCTTGCGTCTACAATCAACATACTTGGTACTAGCAATCAGGAGATCAGGAAACGTATTGCACTGGGAAGGTCTGCAGTCAGAGATCTCTCCAAATTACTGAGGAGCTACAATGTCAGTTTGAAGACTAAAGTGCACCTGATTAAAGTTATGGTGTTTTCAATTACAAGCTATGCATCTGAGAACTGAGCTATTAATAAGAATGGCAGAAGAAGAATAGATACCTTTGAGCTGTGATATTGGAGAAGAGTACTGAATACCCCATGGTCTGCCAAAAGAATAAACAGGTATGTTCTGGAGAAAATACACCAAGAGTGGTCCTTGGAGGTAAGGATGGTGAAGCCTCATCTCACATACTTTGAGCATGCTGTTAGGAGAGGTTATACCTTGGAAAAGGACATCATGCTTAAAAGGTGGAGAGTTGGTGAAATACAGGAAGACACTTTAAACAGATGGATTGATAACAGTGACTACAGCAATGTCAGAGATTGTGAGGATGGCACAGGATAGGACAGTGTTCAGATCTGTTTTTCACAGGAACATTAGGAGTCATACTGGACCTGCTGGAACCTAACAGCAACAACAACAACAACAACATAAAGGAATTACTCACAGATAAAGACATATTCCAAAATAGCCTTCCAAATTCTTTTTTTAATATGTTGAGTGAAATTTTTCCATTGCTTTGGGATAGCAGAGTAAATTTTAGAAATTTCTCCTTTCAGAACAAAAATCCATCATATCATGAAAGCAGAATTCATAAAGAAGCTATCAGCAGTTCGCGGAATGCTATTTTTTTCTTTAATTTTTTTTTAGTGCTATTTTTGAGGCCTTTAATGCTTATCTCTTCTTAGGAAAAACATGGTTGTTTCCCATGTCTCATATACACATGACTAAAGCCTTCTCCTTTGTCTTATCTAGAAAGTTCTTGAATAGTTGAGATAATGTCTGATTAAAATATTCTCCTTCATGTCCCATGTGCCTATGTGGCCAAAGAAGCTCATGTCTAAGCAAGAGTAAACGCACAGGCTCTTCTCTGGAACAGTAAGCACTTCCCAAGTGGGAACTACTATCTGAGGGTGCTGGGTGATGACAGGAGGGAAGAACCAGAGGCTGAGAAGACTGCAGAGCAAGGACTTAGCA